ATATTAATTTTTAAATATATATATTTAAAAATCCTCAGGTGAGGATTTTTAAAAAATGAAGATCTCTAGATACTGATATACAAAGCACTCAAGAATATACTGTTAAACTTAACTTACTTTACAGCAAGTCGGTGTTGCTCAGCAGACAGGTCTTCCGCTCTTCGACCTAGTCCTATGAGAAAGAAAACATTTAGAAATGTTTTCAGTGAAGTCAATAACTAATCTTAAGAGAAGCTTATAAAACTCATCTGAAAAAAAGTGATTAATTATTGTTTCATAAATCAAAGCTTTCCTTTTTTTAAAAAATGCCCTGGATCAAAGCACTACCCCACAAGTCCATGTGTAAGGAAAGTCTCTACAGGTTCTTATGAAGAGGGGAGAATTCAGGGGCTACTCCAAGTCAATTCACACAGTAGGACATGGATCACAGAGCACCCTCCAGAACTCCTACACTCCTTACTATGCTGTATATACTTTTGTTGCTACATGAGAGACATAAGCCTACCTTTGCAGCCTACACCAGTGTAAATACCTCTCTGAAATGCTGGGTGCAGACACCTGGTACAAGCTGAGCGCATGGGTGTGGAATGTAATGAGGAAAGAAATAGGGACTTTTCTCTTCCAAAACACAGGAAACATAATCCTGAATGCAGGGAAGACACAAAAGAATTCTTGGGAGGTTTTCCTTCCTTTAAAATTCATCCATGCCAGAAAAACTCCCAACCAAATCACATCTGTGCTTCCCATAAAATGTACGTTAACTGAGTGTCAAAGAAATTGGAGGGTCATCTCATAAGCATCAGAAATTTCAGAGGGAAGAGGGGAGGGGGCAGGAATAATTTAACCAAAGAACTTATCTATATATATAAAAGCCTAAGCAACCATTACAACCGAATGAACGGAATGACCAGTCAACCAATTGCTATGATGTGCACTGACCACCAGGGGCAGTTGCTCAACGCAGGAGCTGCCCCCTGGTGGTCAGTGTGCTCCCACAGTGGGAGCACCACTCAGCCAGAAGCTAGGCTCATGGCTGGGGCTCCTCCCTGGCCTCCTGCAGCTTTGGCACTGCTATATTCCTGAGGGGTGGGGAGGGTTGAACTGCTGGGTCCTGGATTGCAAGAGGGTGCAGGCCAAGCTGAGGGGACCTCACCCATGCACAAGCCCATGCACCAGGCCTCTAGTAAGCATATATGCATAAACCATGGACATAGACAACAGCTGCAGTGAAGGCCTCAGAGGGGGTCAAAGGGGGGAAATGGGGGACATCTGTAATACTTTCAATAATAAAAATAAATTTTAAAAAGTAACCGTATATTCAGTTAAGACTGACTGATATGGTCACCAATCACAAAGGCAACTCAAAAACAAGCCTAAGAGAAGGGAGAGTGGTTCCAGAATTTACTTCTTCCTCCCACACACAAGAGAAAAAGACAGAGGCAAACAAACATTGTTCTGTATGTAAGGGATGGTCCAGAAAATAAGCTGAGAATGCTTACAAAAGTAAATTCAGGCAAAAAGCCGGTTTGGCTCAGTGGATAGAGCGTCAGCCTGCGGACTGAAGGGTCCCAGGTTCGATTCCGATCAAGGGCATGTACCTGGGTTGCGGGCACTTCCCCAGTAGGGGGATGTGCAGGAGGCAGCTGATCGATGTTTCTCTCTCATTGATGTTTCTAACTCTCTATTCCTCTCCCTTCCTCTCCGTAAAAAATCAATAAAATATATTTTAAAAAAAAACAAACAAAAGTAAATTCAGGCAAAAAGCCTGCATAAAAAAACAAAAGTAAACTAAACAAAAAAATGTAAGAAGCAGTGTTTTTTAAAAAAAATCACTCTCTTTTTTCTACAACCTCATCAAATAGTACAAATCTGGCAATCCCAGAAATTAAAGTGATTTTAGAAAAATATAAATCTTTGTTTTACTATGGTTGCAAATATCAAAAAATGTCTATATGTGACACGGCACGAGAGTTAAGTTAAGGTTTTTCAAAATGCTGACACGCCGACCTCAAAAGGTTCGCCATCAGTGTCCTAGAAAGATTCCATCCTTGGTATAAAATTACCCAGTTCTCTACAGAATGACTAAGTCACTAAGTATGAATGAGAAACACACAGAGTCAAAATGAAATTGGTTTCCAAGCTTTAAGGGAAACAAGAGAACTAGCGGAGACTGTACAGCTCAACCTGTCAACACATAAAGACGTTTCAGCCGTCAGAAAGCATTTGCCAAAGAGGAACAAATCCTCAGATTATCCTTTTACTAATTGCACCTGGCATCGCTTAAGCCCATCTTCCGGCCAGTGAAAGTGCCATTCTCCTTCCCTGGGACCCAGTTTTAACAGTGGAAATAACATTTTCTGGCCATTTTTAGAAAGAGTTTAAGTAAAGAAAATCCCCATTTTTCATACAAAGAGAAGAGCTTCCTCTCCCAGCTTTTGGTAGGGTCAGGCTGATCTCTTAAACATTTAAGTTAAATGTTTAAAATTTAACTTAAATTTAAAACATTGTAAAAGTAAACAGAAAACCCACTGTTCTCAATGCAAATATTTCAGCAAATTTAGGCTACAGATCCAGGAGGGAAATGACAAATAATTGCTGGGAAAGTTAAAAGCTATCATTTAAGAGGCCTACAAATTTTGGACACGGTATATATAGCAAGATCTTCCAGCACTTGTCTAATTTGGGACGGTGTACAGAATATGAAAAATGTCAGGTGGGCGCAGAGCAAGGATCAAAGATGTTTTTCTCACCATCATGAACTTGGAAGGCCAAGGTTGTGATCTTCTGAGTGACAATCATCAGAGGCCTAAAAGGAAGATGGAAAACAGTCAAGATTAGCAAAAGTGCCACTGCAACTTTAATTCTATTTCTCTACATCAGGGGTGGGGAACATCCAGCCTGCAGGCTGTATAAGGCCCATGAAATCATTTGGTCTGGCCCTGCCCAGGCATTAGGGGTGCGTTAATTAAATATTTGACAAATATAGCAGGCTAATTGTTAAGTTCATAATTCTGTATGGCCTGCGAATGATGTTATAAGTATTCAAATGGCCCTTGGCAGAAAAAAGGTTCCCCACCCCTTATCTAGAAAGTGAAAAGGCATTTCACAGAATGCATGAAAATGTGTGTAAATCATGTATCTGTAAGCTAGAATTCATAAAGAACTCTGACAACTCAATAATTAAAAGACACCCAATTTAAAGATGGCCAAAGGATCTGAATAGACATTTCTCTAAAAAAGATATACAAATGGTGATAAGCACATGAAAAGACATTCAACAGTGGCTAGTTATAAGAGAAATGCAAATCAAACCACAATGAGATACCATTTCTCAAGCAGTAAAAGGACTGGAATCAAAAAGACAGATAACAGGTGTTAGCCAGGAGGTGGAGAACTGCAACCCTCGTACATTGCTGGTGGGAATATTAAAAGGTGCAACTGCTTTAGAAACAGTCTGGCAGTACCTCAGAAAGTTAAACATACAGTTAGCATATGACCAAGCAATTGCACTCCTAGGTACATTCCCATGAGAAATAAAAATATGTCTACACAAAAACTTGTACACACATGTTCAGAGCAACATTATTCATAACAGCGCCAAAGGAAAATTACCCAAATATCCATCAACTGGTGAATGGATAAATAAAGTATGCTATAAATATTATTCAGTAATAATAAAGAGCTAATATACTAATTAGACTGAACAGCAGAACAACCATCCAGACAACCTTCCAGACGACCTTCTGGAAGACCCTCCAGATGAAGCCGGGGCTGCGAGGGCCAAGCTCCTTGCACGAATTCCGTGCATCTGGCCTCTAGTTCAGTAATAAAAAGAATAAAGTACTGATACATGCTACAACATGGATGGACCCTAAAAACACACTAAGTAAAAGAAACCAGACACAAAAGGCCACATTTTGTATGGTTTCATTCATATGAAATGTCTAGAATAGGCAACCTACAGAGAAAGGAAGTAGATTGCTAGTTGCCTAGACTTGGGGAATTGGGAGAAAATGAGGAGTGATAGCTAATGCATACAGGTTTCTTTTGAGAGCAATGAAAATGTAAACTTAATTGTGGTGAACAGTTGTACTCTATAATTTACTCAGCAAATATGCACAAAAAAATACCCCACTGAATTGTATACTTTAAATGGGTAAATTGTATGGTATATGAATTGTATATCTCAACAAAACTACAATTTTTCAAATGCACCTGTTTTTCCAATATCTACCCTAGTTTCGTACTTTTAGTAGCTCTGTTCTTGCCCAAGACAAGATAAAATCCCACTACTTTAACACCCATCATTTCTTTCACCCTTCTTAATTTATCCTGATTTTCTGATCTCCTTCTACGGCTTCTTACTGAATTGGTAACTCTGACCCCCAGGGACTGATGCCTCATTTATATGCAATGCTGAGCCCTAGCAGTGTCCCCGGAAGGACCCTGAGATGCCACACAGCCTCTGTGCCCTGAGCTCAGGCCAGGACACAAGTGTGATGTGTGTCAACTGCACTTAGCCACTACTTTGAGTCCATTTTCCTGTTTAATGCTTCTCATTCTGACGCCCACTTTCCATCTCTTTGACATAATAAGCATGATATATTTTAAACTATCAATGTAAACTGACAAGATAAAGCATTTTCAAGAAAGTACGAAGAAATACACTTTGAAATCTTAATACTTACACCCAGCATTATATCTCATTTGCCAAAGCCCCGTGTCCAATGGCCATTGTTTAAAACAAGATTCTGAATGCTGCGTATAAGGCTAAGAGATGAGTGAGTCTGACTGGGGAAGGGAAGGGCACCTGTGCTCTGCCAGGACTGGCGAGAGGAAGGTGTGGCACACAGGGGAGCCACTGAGGTGGATGTGCTAAGGCACCAAGACGTGCTCAGAGCTAACACTGAGGTGACGACTCTCTTTTATATTGAAAAAATGGCTGCCTTTCCAGAACACTGAGAGTTGGGGCTCAGAAATAAAGGCTCCCCGGACGCTTCCTAGAAGATCAAATTGATCTCACAGACCAGACCAGACCTGTGCAGTCACTACTTGATATTCAATGAGGCCTCTGACCCACCATGTCTAACAAATGCCAAGAGCTGTTTTTCTTGAGAGGGACTCACTTTAAGCATCACAGGGAAGGGAGTTTCTAATGTAACTTTCAAAGCAGTACAGTTTTCTTCCTAAAGCCTTTTGTCTCCGGCAAGATTAAAAATCCCACTCTTCCTTGCACAAATCCTAGTACAATAATAAAAATAATTTTTATTATTTTTTAGCATATTTTTATTTACTTCAGAGAGGAAGGAAGAGGGAGAGAGAGGTAGAAATATCAACGAGAGAGAAACGTGGATCAGCTGCCTACTGCATGCCCCCTACTCAGGATTGAGTCAGCAATTCGGCATATGCCCAGACCTGGAATCGAACTGTGGCCTCCTGGTTCACAGGTCGACACTCAACCACTGAAGGACCACAGCCGGGCCCAGTACAAAATTTTTAAATTTGAGGCACACTCTCTGGTGCCTATGCAATTTGCAAACCATGTAAGTTCCTACATTTCATTTCATTCATAAAAATATATTTATTTTTAGGCCCTTAAAATATAGATATCAACAAAGATATAAAATGTCTCAAGAAATTAACCTACCTTTCTATCTCTGTAGAAATACAGCATGTTTCCCTCTATCTGGGGTTCAATTTAATGTATTCCATGATTGGACACATGTCCAGCAAGGCATTTGGTAGTCTAATGTTCACCTACAGGAGAACACATCGCTGGCAGCATCGCTGACCGGCTCCAGCTGTGCCCTCTGGTTCTGCCACCGAATCTGTTCAAAGCCCCGGCCTCCAGACACAGACCCGGTCCTCCCTACAGGGCGTGGTTTCCTCTGCCCTGGGGAATTTCAGCTCAAGGATTTCCCATTGAACTTGCAAAAACTGTCTCAGAACAGCACTGCAGCCCAAGACCTCTCTTCCTTCTGTTCCCCTCGCATCTCAGGTCAGACATGCTTTCGATCTGATGGCTCTCCCAGCCTCATGCGTGGCCTCCCCACTTCCCCTCCCAGGCATTCACCCCATTAATCTCTCATACTCTGTTCCTATCTTGGCATCTGCTTCTAATCAGTACGCTTTAATTATGTTCAATTTGTAACAATGAAATTGGGGGTCACCACAACATGAGGAACTGTATTAAAGGGTCGTGGTGCAGCCAAGGTTGAGAACCACTGACCTAGACCAATGCGACTCGTAATAATGAATAGATCAACGTCAATAAATAACAACTATTCAATACGAAACCGGCACCACTAGGTTTATGGAAAAACCATATTGCTGTCCTTGTTTAGAAAAAAAAAAAAAGTTCCTTTTTTGGGAAAAGAAGCAGTTCTGGATCAAATATTGTTATCCATCATCCAGATGATACTTTCCATAGTATACTGCTTCTGTTTCAGACATCTGGAGAAATTTCCAGCAACTTAAATAAAAAACATCTCACCCATGTGGTCACTGACAAATAACAGACTGATGACCTATGAAAAAGCAGATCTGAAATCCTCAAACTAAAGCCCGCTCACTGAAAGGCATGAATTTAGAATCCTCCCACATGCTTACTTCTCCAAGGGTGTAAGGAAGAGCGCCATATGCTCTTGCTAGGAGGAAGTCCCCTCCGAACACATTTTCATTGATCAACTTATTTAAACTTATGGGTAGATCAGGCGCCAAACTTCCATTGCACAAGTTACTGAGATTCAGATCCATGAAATTACTAATTTAAAATAAAACTCAGCTCAGCCAGTGTGGCTCAGTGGTTAAGTGTCAATCTATGAACCAGGAGGTCATGGTTTGATTCCTGGTCAGGGCACATGCCCAGGTAGCAGGCTCGATCCCCCATTGGGGGGCATGCAGGATGCAGCCAATCAATGATTCTCTCATCATTGATATTTCTATCTCTCTCTCCTCCCTTCCTCTCTGAAATCAATAAAAATATATTTTAAAATAAAACTCAAATACCATCCATGATGCATTCCAATAAAAATGTAACACAATCTAAGACATGCTTATTGGTTTGTGGCTGGAACTCATGCTTTCTTTCTTTCTTTTTTTTTTTTTTTGTTTTTTTTTTTTTTTTGTAAAAATGCAAAACCCAGCATCCACAAGCACCTACTACAAATGCAGGGAGGACATAAAAAGGTCCCTTGATGCAGCCAAAGAAAAGGACAATGAGGCCTTAGAACTTGAGCTGCACTCGGATTTTCCACCCCCTGTAGAGAATGCCCTGTCCTTGGGTTTGTAAACACCAGTCAGCCGGCACCCGGCACTTGAATCCATGGGAACCATCTGACCAATATGAAATCAAGGTCTGAGTCCAGATTGGTTGAGGAAGAACCACTTTTATTTTGTCCCATGAATTCTTTTCATGATTAAAAAAGAAAAGCCAAAGAAAACCATTTTTTTCTTCCCAAGCTAAAGATTATTAGTAAAATTTAGATAAGGAAATATAGGGGGAAATTAACGGAAAACAGGCAGTTGGAGATGTGTTTAGAGCAAAAAGAAAGACAGTACAATGCTATCTACTTCTCACTCCTCTCCTACCCCCGCAAAAGCCATGCCTCCTGATACAGATGTTAGGCAGGGTACCAGAAGTGGTATCCATTCATCCATTTCCATTTCCCATACCAACTCCCAACAGAAAAATAACTTAGTCTTCAAAACATTAAACAAAATTCAGTTTTGAGCAATAGTTCAATAAAACCTACCTGTTTTACCTTAATCTTTGGACCTAAAGTGGTTAAGTTCTCTGTGCTGGTA